AATGTTGCCTACTCGAGCTATCAGCTTCACAATGGATAGGATTTTGGCTTAGAATTGCAGAGACTAAATAACCGATTAATATGTGGCTTCAATCCTACAGGTCCAGAATTTTAATTACTACCTCATAACTATGTTAAAGTGCCCATTCTTAGGGGTGATCTCGACATAGGGGCCACAAATAAAAACTCTGAATCCGTAGATCGATTAGAATTCAAATTCTAAGTAATATCCTCCTACAAACCATGCTCATACGTGTTGTGGTTGGAAAGCTATAGTCCAATCTCTCCAGAGTGCCAAATTTGGCAGGGAAAACAAGCTGATTTCACATTTTTGGAGCAATAAATAAAATTTCTACATGGAAAACTCTCTCAGTGGATTCAATCACATCATTCCCTCAAACCCAGTGCAAAAAATATATTGAATTGGTGTTGTGGAAGGTACAAAGTCCATGTCTCAAGAAATTGGCCCTGTGACACTATGTCACGGCATGTCACTGGTCATCACACTTACCAAGGATTGTGCAACACCATGAGAAGAAGAACACTGTGAGGACCAGAGAATGGGGTCATGAGGGGAAGCTGAGAGAAAAATTAGTTATTCTATTGCTAGACTGCATTCAAGATCACATACCACATTAGCATGGAGGTATTTAAAGAATGTGTCATGTCTCAAAGAGCCCTCAACAACTCTCAATGCAATGATTCCCTCATCTAGAGCCAGGGCAGCAATCATGGAATATCTGCCTCTCTGAACAAAGGGGTCATGTTGTTCAACCCATTCCCCAACAGGGGCCCTACCCCACAAGTATGTGTGATCATCTTTTGATACCTCATCAATCGGAAGCAGGTAGTTTGGGGGGTATTGACTTCTGTGACAGATAAAATCTGCATGTAGGAAAGGGTCCCATTCAGCAGCCATCTTTTGGACATGTTTGACATTGAGCCCAGCACATTCAAGCATTCAATGAAGGGTAGTGAGTGACACAGAGAGCTCACAATGTTGTTCTAGTCATTGTGAATATTCATCCAAGAAGAGGGTGGGCTTATGTTGTGCTAGTCACAGCAGATAATCACAGTCCCTTCTAGTGAGTGTCCTAGGCTGGCCACAGCCAATAGCTTCCACTTTAGTGATGCTTCCAGTGTGTAGTTTTCAGCAACAAGTGCAGTATTAAGTGTGGACAGAGAAGCCTGTAATTGCAGCTATGTTGTAGACAGTATCATGTCCATGGGCCACGAGTTGCAGAGCTGCTTCTTTCATATCATCACTGATCTTTCAATAGACCATAGATGAGTGGTAGAAGGAGTTTTCAATGACAAGGCTTCATGGAGGTGTGCCGAAAGAGGACATGTGACATTATGTCATGCATGCAGCTCACATAGGTCAGCTATTCAAACTCTTTTATTTCTAAACATCATCATTATTGAAAATCACTATATAAAAATGCATGTAGTTGTAATGTGTATAGCAGGCACTAGTTTAGATTGGAACACCCCACAATGACTTCAATTTTTGAGCTGAGTGGCACCTGTATCCTGTGGGGTTCAATTCCCCAAGAACCACATTGAAAACCTTTATCCAGGTACTTTTTCTTTTTTTCATTGGTATTTTTGCCATAGTGGCATGGCCTCAATGTACCATAAGTACTGATTTGCTAGGCATTCACCTGTGAATGGGTGTATTTAAAATTCATGTCAACTGAATGAATGTTGCCAACTCACAACTGAATTTTTCCAGTTTTATTGTAAAAAAACACATGTAGTTGGAATGTGTACAGCAGGCACTGGTGTAAATTGGAACACCCCATGATGACTTCAATATTTGAGCTGAGTGGCACCTGTATCCAGTGGGGTTCAATTCCCCAAGAACCACATCAAAGACAGAGTTCTGTGTACTTTTTTTTTTCATTGGTATTTTTGCCATGGTGGCATGGCCTCGATGTACCATAAGTACTGATTCACTATGCATTCATCTGTGAATGGGTGTATTTAAGATTCATGTCATCACCAACTCCCAACAGAATTTTTCCAGTTTTTTTTAAAAAAAAGCACATGTAGTTGGAATGTGTATAGTGGGCATTGGTGTAGATTGGAACACCCACTATGCATGACTTCAATAGTGGGCCTGTGAATCTAGTAGGTTCAATTCCCCAAGAACTGCATGAACAGTGAGTCTTTTTATGCATTGCCATTTTTGCTGGGGCAGCGTGGTTTTGATGTGGTGTACTTACAATGGTGGCTGTGGACATCAGGTACCAGGGATCTGGATTTGCTAGGCATCCACCCACCTGTGAATGGGTACATTGAAAATTCAAGTCAACTGAATGATTCAGAACATCACCACAAATGCGTATAGCGGGCACTCGTGTAGATGGGAACAACCCACACTGACTTCATTGATATTCAAGATGAGTGGGGCCTGGGTTCAATTCCCTGACAACCGCATGTGCAAAAATGAGTATGTTTTTCAAGGGGGGAGCAGGATTTGAATCTGCCATATGGGGTCAGTTGGTTAGTCTGGCTGACAGGCTGTTAAAAAAAAATTATTTTATGTACTAATTTTGGGTAATTTACAGGCTGGGTGAGCTCAGATTGGACAGGTGTGCTTTCTGAGGTGTTTCATGTGCTGTCCTCACTTACCAAGTGGGATATTTCCCAGGATGACCCTTTCAGAACCATTGAGTGCTATTTATGATTAGGAGAATAATCCATTCTAAGAAACCTGGTATAATATGATTTAGATTGAGGACAAGACAACAAAATTGTTATCTGTCCACATTGTGAGGCAACAGTCCCTTTATGCACAACTGCCTACTACAAGTGACACAAAGGAAGTTAGCAATGCACCAAGAACAAGCAAAAGAGAGAGAAAGAAGAGTGCATGAAAGCAAGGAAAGCAAACGACAATGCAAAAGTTCTTCACTGCACATCCACAGGTTGAAGCACGTACACCAGCACCATCAGCATCTACAACCCACGCCATTTCTTGTCCACCAAAATCTGCAAAGAAATCTGCAATAATGGACAAGGGTCTGCATGTGATACCCCAAAAAGGAAAGTCTCTGTAAATTTGTTGCAACTACTACTAAAAAGCCCTCATATAGCACAAATCAAGTAGTTAAAGATGTAGGTATTTAGAGTATATAATGTACTTTCACTTATTTTCTTTTTCTACCTGTCTTTTTTGCTGGTTGAGTAAGTTTCTTGAGGGGAATGTGAATCTTCAAGGCAGGCGCAGTCTTTGAAATCATGGCCTGAGTTTTGGGGTGCAAAAAAGTATTCCAGTGAAGTGCCGCCATGGAGTTGAGAGTCTTCTGTGAGTGTGAGCCCATTAAGGCTCCTGGCCCGAGATGATAGATGGCATTCTCAATGGGAGCATGTGTATGAAGGTGGTATTTGTGGGGTGCGACAGTGCATGCAAAATCTGGTGCACTCTCTTCATCATCCGTATTAACATCCTCATCTTCGGCAGTACCAGCCAAGCCCTAAATGGAGTTAGAACAAAGGTGCATTGCACAGTAGGAGAAATTAAGTGATGACATACAGATCCGAGGGCAAGATAAATGCGCAATGACAACCAGGAAAGTCCTTGAAGAGTTATGGAGCGTTTCATAGAGCCATAATGTGAATTCACTCCTTTCTTGTACATGTCAAGTACCTCACCGATATAATACTGCATATCAGTTCGCATGATGAGGAAAGAATTGCACTTGAGTTCATTGAGTGCTGTAACATTATGCGCTTCGAGATGTGGCAAATCTGGGAAAGAGATTAATGGAAAGCATTTGTCAAATAGAACATTCAGACCTTTTTCACCAAGTTTTAGCTCTTTTTGAATTTGCGTCACGACTTGCTGCCACCGAATTTGCCGAACCTTCTTCTGTTCTTGCCGCTTCAGCTCACCATTGAGCTCTTGCGCAATATGCAAATGATGGGCAGCTTCTTTGATTAAGATTTTCTTCATGTCCTCTTCTGCAGGTTCCTTCTCCACATCCAGCACCTTCTCCAATGTTGAAAATTTTGGAGTGATGATAATGACATGTTCAGATTTTGTTGTGGTTCCAGATTGCCAAGCGTGACGTGAATTCAGAATGTCTTTTACAGATGCCTTCCTGGATGAGTGATGAAGAAGCTGGCTCAATTTTTAATCATTTACTGGTGATCCTGTTTGTGAAATGATGGCGGCAGGTGGTAGTGGGTGTGCTGATGGTAAACTGATGTCTGATTTGCCAAAGGAGCTGGCCTCAATCCCTGCCTCGATGTCCATACAGAGTGCCACATATCAAGCAGTGTCACAATAGCAGTAGCCTCGCCAATGTTTGAAGGACTAACCTCAGTTTTGGTATCAGATTCAGCGGAACTGTCATCCCTGTCTTACATCAAGTCCCCGTTGATACGGATGAAACCATTTCACCCATATAAAATTCAATTTTAACGATTTTACCAATAAAGGTCATCTCTAATAAATACACTACATACAATTGCAATGATACAAAGAGTCAATGCGCATACCCGGCGCAGTTGACTAAAAATGCAAATGCGTGGAATCTGAAAATAGGACAAAGGCTTTGGAACTGGCAGCAGTACGCATCGTGACATTATACTTGGATCCTATCTAAGATTCACCTACCATGAAATAGAGCACGAAGAGGTTCTAGAGTAAACACCCAACGCAGGGAGAAGAATTGCATTACTACTAAAGGGTTTAGAAACACATAATGGATTTATTGTGAAAACTCGTGCTTATACAAGAAATACAGAAAAGATGACATAGACGCTTAAACGGCATGTCTGAAACATTGAAAGACTAAACTACACCTAGGTAGTAAACGTACAAAGACTTAGCGTGGCTCACGGCCATTCAGAAAGTCATGTACGGCGATTCCCGCGTACGCATCAAAGACTGATGCGTCTGAACATCACAAGTACAAACATAAGAAAAAGACACATTCTATTATATGAAATATAATAAGAACCACCTGACAATTAAGAAAGACATTTGAAAACACCTTTGGAGTGTCTCCTGACCTCCGTAATGAAAAGACGAGCCAAGACAAGGCATTTTAATTAAAAACTCGGAAACGACGGAAGGCCAAAGACTATTGGTAAACACGTACGCATGCGCATCAACGCATCAGGAAATGTTAATCATTTTGTGATGTCATCTGTCAAACCGGTAAACTGGGCCATAGAAAGAAACACGCGAGATCATGCCAAGCTAAGAATAGCTACGTCGGCTAACTCCGCGTACGCATCAAACACTGATGCATTTGAAAATGAAAGACGCAACACTACAAAATCTGTAGTGTTCACAGAGATAGACTACAAAATATACCACATGTTCATTAAATTTCATATTTGTAATTTGGACCGAAGTATCCCACATTAAAACACATGTAAAACGTAGATAGGGGTTCCTGGAGTATATAAGGAGCGCACTGGCAGGTCAAAAGGCAAGCAATCGCCCCCCGTTGACCAGCTAGTTGCACTCCAAGTAGGAACTTAGGAGGTGGACAGTTGTAATCAATTAAAGGAGATTTCTTCGTGGTCAGAAAAGTACAGTGTGAACGAAGCCAGCATGCTTGGGAGTCAACTTACTTGGAGACTTTTGAATAAGAGGTTTTAAAAACACAGTATCATTTAGACGAGACAGCGTACTCGTACCCTTGGTTTTGGAGCGTAGTGACATAATAAAAACTCACAGGAGTCATAAAAGTCAATTGAAGTCGTGTTTTGTGTTAATAAAAGAAACTGTGATCAAAGAACCTTGCATTTAAGAGACCAAGTTCCCAGAAAGACATACATTGTTCTATTGAACTATTCTAAACCACACCTTATAATAAAAACCCGTTTTGAGACGAAGTCTCTTGAGACTTAAAACCTAAGAAGACAAAAGTGGTATTTCTTAATACCAAAGGCCCTCGAACTCTTGCACCGAGATTGTGATAGTGTGTGTGTGTGTGTGTGTGTGAGTGAGTGTTTAGGTGTTTAGGGTTTTCCCGATGCGCTTGATCCTCGTTTGCGTGTTTCGCACTTTCACGTTCATCCCCGTGCAAAGCGTATCACCGTCTTCCATTAAGTCCTCATCCTCGTCGCTATCCCCTCCTTTAGTTTGCACAGCAGGATCTTCACTTCTCCTCCGAGCGCTTCCAAGAGCTTGTAGTTGAAGCGGATTTGATGGAGTGAGTGAGACAAGAATCAAAAGAATATCGTGGCAGATGTGAGCCGCTTCGTTATGTGCAAGTTCCACCAAATGATTCAATTGAACTTCAGTGAGGGAAGAGGTGGGCAATGGAGAGTCGTCATAGACAGCTCTATGCATGTCGGTATCTGGGTTTAAAATATGGCCTGAGGCAGATGTCCTCTCTCTCTTGGACTTGAAAAGTCCTGATTCAAGTATCCGCTGCCATACCATAATATGCTGGACTATTTTTAGAAACTCGGCGTATGAGAAGTTTGGAAGTAATTGTCGTCCAATCCCAAAAAAGTGTTCAAGAAATTCTGTGTTGAACTTTTCAGGGCAAGATGCCTCCTTGGGGTAATACCTTGCATATGCCAGGGCAAGCAAGACGAGCATGTCACAAAGTCAATTGAAAATATGGAAGTTCGCTGGTGATATGAAGGATTGCGCCAGCAAATAGAGGTCAGGGAATTGCTTCGTGAGCTTCAAAATGTGGGACTGGCAAAAATGGAGCCAAAAATGTGCTTGGAGAGCAGCCAGTATGCCATCTTCAACGGTCATAGATGGGCTCATCCATGCCTCAAACAAAGTTCCTGTCAATGATGTAAGTCAGGAGTAGTGTTTGCAAGTTCAGTTCAGTCCGGTTTTTTGCCCCCAAAACGCGCAACCGTGGACCGCAACCGGTCTAGGACCGACCCAGATATTGAGGGAACCGAACCGAACCACCTAGGACCGGTCTTTTTCGGTCTATGGAGCCAGTTCAGACCGATCCAGACCGGTTTTTTTGTGTATAATTTATTATACCAATATAAACCATTTGTATCTCGACTATTATTACTCTAAAAAATAAACGGGTCATATGAAATAGTAAAGCATGTAAATACCCGTCATTCTACCAATTTTGAAGAGATTTAATGAAGATTTGACATAGCTATGACTGAAACCGAATTACATCTCGTGGAGACTTGGGTAAAATATGGATTTGGTTATATCTTTCTCAATTCTTAACCGTTTTTGATGAAACAAAAACCCAATAAAATGTAATAAATGTGGTTACAAGGGTCTGTAACGCACGTGACCGTTTAACCGGTTGCAACCGATCAAAACTGGTCTTTGAACAGTTTTAATATATTTTCGAAATGAGGCAACCGGCAACCGGACCAACCACAAATTGGGGCAACTGCAACCGAAAAAAAGACCGGACCATGGACCGGTTCAGTTCGGTCCACCGGTTTTTTGTGGTCCTATGGACTGAACCTTTAAATACTAGTCAGGAGTCATGTCATCATAGAGTTAGATGCACCCATGATAAATAGATAGCAAAACACCAGCCTGCTTTAATCCATAAAGTGCACGTTGTAATCAACAAACATGTCTGCTGCCATCTGAAAAACCTGGGGGTTGCTTCATATAAATATCATCCATGAGTTTTCCATTTAAATATGCACTTTTCAGATCGAGTTGACGCATTTCCCATTTATTTATTGTGGCAAGTGCGAGCATCGTGCGTAGCATCTTGAAGCGCATAACAGGTGCAAATGTGCCATTATGGCTAAAATCCATTCCTGGTTTCTGCAAGAAACCTTGCACTTCAAGTCTTGCCTTGTATTTTACAACATTTTCATGCTCATTTCATTTTTTATCAAATGCCCAACAGCATCCGATTGGTTCCCTTCCTATTGATAAGTCTTCCATTTTCCATGTGCCCATTTTTTCCAAAATATTTAATTCTGCTTCTACAGCAGCTTTCCAATGCTCTTTCTCCTCAGTCTGCATCACATCTTCAAGTGTTTCTGGCAATCCATCTTTATCAGAAATTCCTGAGAGCACTTGAAACGATTTTTCGGTTGAATTTCTAATAAAATCTTCGAAGGCAAGGTGTGTGCAATTTTTAGAAATTATTTTCGCAGCTGGTGACTCTGTGTGTCGTGTAATATCAGGTGGTGTCGCATTTTCAAGTGCGTGATCCATAGGTCGTGCCTGTGGATTATTTAGGAGTTGATAATCATGTTCAGTGCGAATTCTTCGAGGTCTAAGAGTTGGAGAATTTATGGGTTCAATAGGACTTCGCATTTCTTGTGTAGGAACTGTTGTAGAGATAGGATTTAATGGATTTTCGATTTCTTGAGGTGTTTGAGTGTTCGATTTTTCCTCTGGCTCCCCCTCGACACGCAAACCCGGTAAATTGACATTGATTTCGAGTTCACGTGGCTCTTCATTTTCGTTAAATGCCACATTACGTGAGACTTTGATTGTCCGAGTTTTAGCATCGTAATAACGGACTGACTTCAATCCATCATGAAATCCTACAAAAATTAATTTGTTTGATTTTGGTGCAAGCTTAGAACGACCTTTGGTCTCGTTTAGCACCCAAACATCACATCCAAATTCCCTGAGATGCGAAATATCAGGTTTATTACTCTGACCAAGCTTCATACAGTGTTTTGTGTTTAAAGCGCATGTGGGTGCACGGTTCTGTAAATATGCCACATGCATGACCGCTTCGTCCCATGAAAGGTTTTTCGCAATTAACATTGCCTGTGCAAGTTCCAAAAGTGTGTGATTAAACCTAAATTGCATAAATCTTGGGGGTTTTCCAAATCTCCATTCAACAACAGCAACATATTCCTTAATGCATTCAAATGCTTGTCCCTTCTTCTTTAGGAATAGCATGGCTGTCAAACTTGCGCTGTCATCTGTAAATGAAACATAATATTTCCATTGTCTGATTGACTCTGTTTGTGCTGGTCCCCATACATCGCTCATGATGCGTTCACCAGGTATCTCAGATCGATTTTTTGCTTCTTGTGGAAAAGGTCTGTGTGCTTGTTTTGCTTGAATACAGGCCTCACAAGTTAATGATGGAATTGTAGACTCATCAATCTTCAGCCCATCCACCATTTCATTTGATTTCAAGCTTTTAATTGCATTGACAGAGATGTGGCCATAAAGTCGATGCCATTGATCCCAAGAGTGTGTCCGAATTGATGTGTATTGGGTGCTTTCCCGATTTGGCAATTCCACACGTGCATCAAGCAAATATAACATGTTCGTCAACTTTCCCTTTCCAATGACCCTACTAGTTTGTCATATAGTTGGCATCCATTGCCTTTAAATTCTACCCTTCCTCCTCCAATTGCTAAGCAAGGAATTGAAAGTAGGCAATTCAGTGCTTTCGGGACATGTAATACATTCTGCAAAATGTGCTTCATTGATTGGCCATCAAATTTAAAGTTGACTGCCACTGTTCCTCATCCCTGTGTCATTGCCAATCCGCCCATGCCGTCTACTTCAGATTTCAACAGTTCGTAATCAACAAATGCGTCTCGGGTTGTGCACATGTGTGAGGTTGTGGCTGAGTCAAGTACCCAGTCATATTTCGAAAATTCATCGATATTTTGATTAACCATGTATGCACAATCACCCAATGAGTTGTTCACGGAATCTTGTGTTCGATGGGATCTGTCTCCTCTATTTGGCCCTCGACAGCCCTTTGGACTTTGTCCCTCGTGACCTCCTCCTTTGGCCCAACATTCATTTGACATGTGGCCTTTCTTGTGGCAGTTGTAACACTCCACATCTGTTTTCTTCTTTCCCTGTGAGCCTGTATTTCTTCCGCCCTTTTGCTGATGCCTAGCTTGCATAGATATTAAAACCGTTCAAAGACCGGTTTTGATCGGTTGCAACCGGTTAAACGGTCACGTGCGTTACAGACCCTTGTAACCACATTTATTACATTTTATTGGGTTTTTGTTTCATCAAAAACGGTTAAGAATTGAGAAAGATATAACCAAATCCATATTTTACCCAAGTCTCCACGAGATGTAATTCGGTTTCAGTCATAGCTATGTCAAATTTTCATTAAATCTCTTCAAAATTGGTAGAATGATGGGTATTTACATGCTTTACTATTTTATATAACCCGTTTATTTTTCAGAGTAATAATAGTTGAGATACAAATGGTTTATATTGGTATAATAAATTATATGCAAAAAAACCGGTCTGGATCGGTCTGAACCAGCTCCATAGACCGAAAAAGACCGGTCTAGGTGGTTTGGTTCGGTTCCCTCAATATCTGGGTCGTTCCTAGACCGGTTGCGGTCCACGGTTGCGCGTTTTGGGGGGCAAAAAACCGGACTGAACTGAACTTGCAAACACTATTTTCCATCAGGTGCAACTCTTCCTGAAGCTTCCTTAGCTTCGATATGTGCTCCACCATATCAAATCCCTTGTCTGTGCTCATCCTGTATAGTGCACATCATGTTGCAAGCACTCCTAGCCTGCTGTTGGATTCTTTGACCATGGTGAGCTGATCCCACATTTCTTGTGCTGTCATTGCACCACTGATGTGGATCATTTCCGCATCACTGATAGTGAGTTCTATTCGTGTCTGCACCTTAGCATCGCCCTCTGCCCATTTTTCATCACATCTCTTTCCTCTGTAGTCAGTGTTTGGGAATCGGCTGATCCTGGAGCTTTTGCATCTTTTGCAATATACTTCTCCAGTCCAAGGTCACGAAGCACAGCCATCATCTGTCGCTTCCATGGCATCCAATTATGTGCCTTCAGCATTTCCATCCAGTAAGATCCCGTTGTATATTCATCTGACATTGTGGTAGATTATGTAATGTAGGTAAGTGGTCGAGATAAGGTTATGTATGATGGGGTTTGTAGTGAATCAATGTAGTACTATCATTACCCCCTCCTTCGGTTGGACCTAACATTCGGTTGTCACAGATGATCCCATCAAACCAAACAGAAATGCCATCAAACTTGATGGGATTTGGCTGGGGATTCAGGCTCCAACATATGTGCACCTGTAGAGGATTCACAGTCCAACTGGCAGAGCGGGACATCACCCATATCTCCTACCTAGTGTTTAAAGGTTCAGTTCAGTCCGGTTTTTTGCCCCAAAAACGCGCAACCGTGGACCGCAACCGGTCCAGGACTAACCCAGATATTGAGGGAACCGAACCGAACCACCTAGGACCGGTCTTTTGCGGTCCATGATACCGGTTCAGACCGATCCAGACCGGTTTTTTTGCGTATAATTTATTATACCAATATAAACCATTTATATCTCGACTATTATTACTCTGAAAAATAAACGGCTTATATAAAATAGTAAAGCATGTAAATACCCGTCATTCTACCAATTTTCAAGAGATTTAATGAAGATTTGACATAGCTATGACTGAAACTGAATTACATCTCCTAGAGACTCGGGTAAAATATGGATTTGGTTATATATTTCTCAATTCTTAACCGTTTTTGATGAAACAAAAACCCAATAAAAGGCAATAAACGTGGTTACAAGGCTATGTAACGCACGTGACCGTTTAACCGGTTGCAACCGATTAAAACCGGTCTTTGAACGGTTTTAAAAGATTTTCGAAATGAGGCAACCGGCAACTGGACCAACCCCAAATTGGGGCAACTGCAACCGAAAAAAAGACCGGACCATGGTCCGGTTCAGTTCGGTCCACCGGTTTTTTGCGGTCCTATGGACTGAACCTTTAAACACTACTCCTACCTCTCTTCTGCATCATTTTCTGCAGGAAAAAAACTGCAGACCATGTAAATAGATATAGCTAGAGTGTTCTTGCGAAAAACTAGAGAAATCAGGGGAGAATTGTGGTGGGAACCGAACATTAGGTCCAACCGAAGGAGGGGGTAATGATAGTATGTAAGAAATTTATAGGCCAGGGCCCATGACCTGTTGAGAGTATATAGCACAGTGGTAAATATAGAGAATAATAATGATTATAGTGGGGAATTTCTTCACCCTTATCTACTACAGAACGTATCTACGAGAATATACTACAAGGTACTAGGTACGTGAGAAATCACCTCGGTGATGTCCTGGGCTTAGTAATTAAGTATTCTTGATCTATCTACAAAGTCCGTGAAATAGCTGACCATATACTAGGGTCATATTCCAACACATACTTACAGTAGATTTAATATCAATTCAATGACTTTCTTGCGGAAAGAGTCTAAGAATTCATTTCCAACAGTTGTCTTGGGGTTTTCTTCTCTGGAAATTGCGTGTATGAACATCAAAACATACAACCCACATGACCAGCCATCAAGCTGTCATTGAAGAGGTGCAGGGCTTTGGAGGCAGCGCGTCCATGCACTGTCGCGCCACTTGATTGTCGGTCTCCTCAGAATGAGTAAAATTCGGTCCATGATTTTGAGAAGGAGCTGACATGTATGTTAGAAGGATGACAACTCTCAATGCTTTCGATTTCTTACAGGCTCTGCCCACGAACTCGACCTGACCTCAGGGATACTGTTGAATATCCCTATCTTGTTACTGAAGTCAATCCAAGGGGGTCTTAGGATTAAAAAAAAATACCCAGGGTCAATTTTTTTTAAAGCCCTTGGAGCTTGACCTACCTACCTATGTAATCAGGCACATACCCATATATGGTAATGTGACATCATCATCATGATCACTTTGTCCCTCTACTTGTCCCAGATGCCTCAAAGGCCTTGCAAACCCAGTTTTGTGGAACAGTTTCCAACAAAACACAACCTAGGTGATACTAAAATGTAGGTGAGTAACATAAAACCTTTTTCATATGGAAGATAGGATAGCCTTACCCATTGTGTCTTACAGCCAAGCTTCTTACATCATGTGAGTGTCTGTCCAGCTAAGTTTGAATGATACTCATGCTGTTATTCTCCAATTCCATGTCATCAGTGATGACACTTTACAAGTCTGCCACCACTGGAGCATCTCCCCATTTTTGCCTCCCACTCCCTTGTGAACTCTGAAGTACCAGATAAGATTAAAGAAATATGATATAAAGCTTGAATATCATTAAATTTGGACTGATCTCCATGTTCTGGAGTATATTGGCACTGCAAACCTGCAAGGTATGGCCTTTCAGGCCTGTTTTGAGATCATTTTGTAGAGGGTTCCAAGAATTTTTTTTCTGGGCCTGTGGCTGACTTTACCTACCCAACCCCTGGTCAGTAGTGGTGGAAAAGTTCAGTTTCATTCGGTTTTTTTGCCAATTCAAGTGGACGGTGAACTGGACTGTTGGTCCAGTTCTGGGCAAATTCGAGAACTGAGAACCGAACATAGAATACTTGTAACATGTATAGAAATATTGGACAACAAGCACGATATATTAGATATCCCCTTCATCCTCAAGGCCCTGAATCAATGCATCAATATGAGTGGCAGCCTCTATCCCAGCCAAAATGTGACCATTGTGATAAGCACTCTTAAGGAGTTGTAAGGCCTCAAAGACTCATGTCGATAAGCTGCTTCGACGATTGGTGCCTGTAATCCCCCCACTGCTGAATGCATGTTCTGATGGCGTGGCTGATCCCTGGATTGCAAGGTAATCCCAAGCGATCTGCTTGAGTGTGGGGTACTTGGAGTTGCCTTGGCACTGCAGTAAATTGAATGAGTCTATGACGAAAGTTCAGAGTAGTTGAATTAACTTACCCCCCACCATCCAATCACATCTTCCATTCTCTCCGGTCCAGATTCCAGATATTGACGAAGTTTGTCACGTGGGTTTCCGCCTGCTTTATCTTGTTCTTGAAAAGACTGAACTGCCTCCTGCAGGAATGAACCACCATAACGAAATGCTGGTTTCGTGTTTGGGATAGAAGGTGTTGTCCCGCCGCCCGAGGCTATAATCCGCAAGATATAAATTTTTGTGAGTTTGTTGGAGATAATGCGAGACACACCTGAGCCGTTGCAATGAGTGGCACTACTGGCGGGTGCCACATAATATTCATCAAACTGAGGATTTAAAACTTGTGTGAGCGCAGTGTGATTGTTCAATGGGGGGTCAAGTGCTCACCACTTCTTCAAGCCTCGCTATACCAGCCGCATATTGATCGGCATCCCAACGATGCTTACAATAGAGATCCTTAACATTTGGATCGAGAACTGAAATTTAATGTCAGACGTCATGATGTGGAAGCGGCGCTCTAACGTGAGATAAAAATTAAACATACCCAGACATATAAAATATGCAGTTGACGTGCTATCCACATGTCAGTACCACTTCTTCAAACTGTCAATACCTTCTTGCAATGCATCCTTCACCTCTCGGAACTTGGGCTGAGGAATCATAGACTCCCAACCCTTGGTAAGAAACTCAAGTGATGGGATTATGCGCCAGACGGTGGGTGAGCATTCATTTGAAAATGTTTGCTGAATGTCAGATGGTTCCTGCTCAATCTTTAGATCATACAAGCTGATACAAAATTTGAGAAACTCACTCGAAGCACATCTCTAATGACCGAAAGCCTGTCCCAATCTTTCTTCATGAGCTGAAAGTCTGTGTAAGTACGTCCACATGCCAGATCGGGAACGCTCTTGCTCGCGTCTGCGAGAAGAAAAGATTGGTCAGTCCCCTGAATGTAAATTACAGTGAATCATAAAAGAAATAATTAGTTACTGAAAACACATACCCCTCTGAGCTGCAGAATGCGATCAAGAAACTTATAGAGAGATCCCCATCGCATGCGGATCCAAAGCAATAACTCCAGGGGTTGAACACCAACTTGTTTGCATGATTCCTTGAAGAAGACCCTTGCCTGAGGGGACTTTCGGATCTGAGTATATGATCAATAGATGAAAAAAGATAGCAAGTAGATAGAACTCACCTGTTTCACGAGGGCAATTGCCTTGCCAAGTGAATCGCCAGATGAAAAGTCATCTGAATCTGAATCGTCGGCATCCAGACCATTGTTCTCATCGCCATCGACGCCATTGAGATCCCAGTCTTGTGGCAAGTCGACATCGGAAAGGGCTTGGTCCACCTCATTCAAATCCAGTGTACTGGAGGCTTTGGCCTTTTGTATCACAGCCTTGACTTTCTTCTGTATGGCAGTAGGAGAGGCAGGTGCGACTGCCTCTACAAAGTGCTTTGCAGCAACATGAAGGGAGTGTTCCATGCATCTTCCAAACGATTATCGATTAGCGCTTAGTCGAATGGCCAAAGCTTCCCCTGGGTAATTACCCAACGCTGCAGCAATGCCACGGCATGAAATGGCGATCCCGAGTTGAGATCGGATTATAGAGCTGGAAGGAATAGAGAAGCCCAAGTCATGGAAGCTCGATATTGCGGGTGAAGTATGGCAGCTGCTCTGGGGTTCCGCAGCTCCACGGAGCCTCACATCCACGAGGTGAGACTGCATGATAAGTTGGCCAGATTTGGAGGACCAACTGAACCACCACGTAGTAGCACCGCGCAGGGCTTCAGAGAATCAAGATCAGAAGAGGAGACTGGCAACATAGATAACAAACGCACTTCAAAGTTATCCAACCCAGCTTCAGTTATCAAATGTCCTCAAGCAGACTCGGAAAGGCAGACGAAGCACTAGATTTGACTAATTCATGGTATTGTGAGGTCTTGAGGGTTCCAAGCCGATGACAGGGATACCCAAGGGACAGCTCCGTGCGCGACGTGTTGAATGTGTCTTGGCCAAGTCTTGGTCGACGTGCATGGACGTGCATCATGATGGTCAAAGAACAAACATGACTATCCCACGATGCGCTGATCACGACCCCTCACCAACACCACCCTCACGTCTCTTCTGCCATCCGTCACGAAAGACTCCCTTGAACCTCTGCTACTTCACTTTTCTAGGACATCCGCTTTTGCTGCTCTACGTGGTTGTCCTTCATCTGGTGCTTCATCTCATCTCTGGGAGGGAGTCAGGAGCCCTTTCTACCGCAAGTCGGCGACTCATACCGACATGCAATCCTGTAATGTATTTTTGGTCTTTATCAACGTATCTCTTGTTAATCTCCTTGTTAGTCCTCAGATGTCAGCGCTTCAGCGTTGACCCTACATGATCATGCCCAGCACGCCCACTTACCCATCACTTCCTCGCCCCAATGCGGTCTGCACAGATGACTCCTATCACCCGTTCACGACCTTCCTGTCAACGGGCAATTTTTCGAATACGTATTCCATAAAGCTTTGGGCCCAGCCACCTGCTTCTGCCATACTTCCTCCTCGTGAAAACCCATGAATTAACATAAGAAGGGTAAGGAGTTCTTTGCTATTTCGCCATCCGTTCTCCCACTCATTATTATGACACCTAGGATCAGGTATTGCAAACCGTGCACTGTGTCTTTACTCAAGATTGGATGATGACATCTACAGATCCATTCCTGATTTTTGATGGTCTCTCTCTTACAGAAATCACGATCTGTATAACCTAGGCATCCAAAGGATGTGGGTTGCGTTACGAGAAAACGTCTGAGCGCTAGTGGTGAGGAATGATCACCTCCAACGGCGCAACTGCAACGAAACTTATCCAACCAGCTTCAAACACCACTCGAAGTTCATCGAGGTGTAGCAGGTGCAGCAGCTGTTCATGGACGAGCTCATCCTATCAAGTGAGTACTACACATTTGGCTATTTATGTATGTTGCTCAACCAGGCGTCACCATAAGGCTCTTCCCATGCAAACCTGTTGCTTCTTGGTCTAATCCCAAGTTCTCACTGATGCGCTCTCCTTTCAGCCTATGATGCTGGAAGTTGTGGAACTGCCGCCTGGTATGGCTATAATCTCGACCGAGGTTCTCCTGCCCAGATCATTTTCCTGTCGTTGCCCGAGGTCGGTTGCTAAACGTTGGTGAAAAAGGTTAATGGCTTCCAGCGAATGAAAACTCCATGGAGGCTCGTCGCTGGGAGGTTGAGGTGTAGTTGGCCTGAGTATAGGCCGATCAGCCATTGCAATTTCTAATTCTTTTAAAACTCGCACCTAGGTTTAGCATGCGTCCTAGAAGGGACTAGAGCCATACCCAGTATCAATTGAAATAGCAAGGAGGGTATTAGTACCAAGTTGAAGCGGTTGCACTTTGCGACTCAGTTTCAGCTGTCTCGGTCTTAGTGAGGAAAAACCATCCTGAGTGCGAAAAGAGAGTTGGCTGAGCATGGAGTGAAAATGGCTCAAACGCCACAGCGCTCAGCCCTTAGGAAAAAGTGAGGGTTCGGGAGGTGAAGCGAGATAAGCTCTGCTCCCTGAATTAAATACCTATGTCTATATTAGGCGCTCAAGGCTTCGTTTATACCAGGCGCTTCCCAGTGGGCTCACATGACGACATGACATGATCATGAGGCGATGCAACTGCAGCATCTGAGTGCTTCATCTTTCTTCTTATCAACCACCATCACCATGAACTTCGCGTACGCTACTAGCAGCACCAACAGCATCGACAATGAAGTCGGATTGGATCTGACTACGGGCGACCTTCTGCGAGCCGTCGGCCGAGGTGGTCTCCAGTACCTCGAGATTGTGGCTAAGTCTGAGGACACTTTTTGCTGAGTCTGAAGACAGTCATCGCCGACTCTTTGGCCATCATCAGCATGACTAAGGTCTGTACTGCTGCTTAAGCTAATCTGCTATGTCTATTGAATGGTGAGAAATAGGAATTCAAATCCAATAAGAAAGCCTGGGCTGAGTTCTCGGAGCATCTCATCAGGCAGGTTGAGCGGGTTGTTCAATATAATTGTCATTATGGAGGGGATCACGTTCTGCCTGCTTGGCAATCAAGTCTTGAGCATCTCAAAGAGTATGTGGTTTTGGCATATCTGTTGCTGATACTGTTTGAATCTGGGTGACTCACTAGAATTCTGAACTAACTGAAAGAAAGAGTTGCAGATGTTCAACCCACCCAAGGGAGGAGACATCCCAGTTTCACAGAGGATATGGCATACATAGAGGAGCTCAAGGGCAAGTTGAATGAAGCCATGGGCACTTTCAATGTATGTGAATTGTTTCTGTCATTTAACCAACTCATTGTCACTAAGTTTCAGGCATGTCAAGGAAATATATCTAAAAGTAGTATGTCAAACTATCTTCTTTTTATTCTTCCATTAGTTGTTATGATCTCACAGGGATTGAAACCAAGGAGATTTGTATAGAGGCTGATACTACAGTGGCAAAACAATCCAGTGAGCTAATTATCTGACACCTTCCAATCTTCTCTTTTCTTGATTCCTCTTGCAAAACTTTTCTAGTGCATCAAGTAAGTGTTCTGGCAGGGGCACAGGATATTCAGATGGACCATGCTGTGATTATTGCTGCAAATACTGTTAGTGGTGAGTTTTACATGAAGGTTCATGCTAATCTGCATCTTCATTATACAGGTCACCTACAACAACAATGGAAAACTTCCATACAAAATCAATGAGAGGATGGAAGAATCAAAGGTAAGTTATGTCAACTAATTTCTTCATAACTGATATTAAATGATTCACTAGAAAAATGAATGGTTGAAAGAATTGAGGTCTCCATCACATAAGCAAAGGGAAAGATGCATGCCTGGAACTTGTGTGGATGTGCTCAGAGACATCCAAGTGTGGCTTTGTGATCTCAACATGCCAAATATTCTCTGGCTATCTGGAAGTCCTGGTTCTGGAAAGACAACAATTGCTTCAACTGTTGTTGCTGACTTTGAATCTTTCTCTGGGCAATTCTTCTTTCACCGTAATCAGGCTGAGTTTTGTGATCCAGACAATCTGTGGAGACACCTTGCTTTGGATCTTGCACTAGGAAACAATGCTCTAGGGAAATCTATAGCTAAGGCATTAGAGACACAGAAAGCTAACATCAGAGGTCTCAATATTTCTAAACAGTTTGAGCATCTGATTGTCAAACCAGTCCAGGAGGTCTTTCTGAATAGTGCAGTACCTCTTCTTGTTGTTATTGATGCTCTTGATGAATGTGAGCAATATCAGAAACTTCTACCATCATTAAAATCTTGGTCTTGGCAGCTTCCCAAGTTTCTCAAACTACTCATCACAAGTCGTCGCTATCTTGATATTCAGAGTACACTGAATTCTATTAGTTACCCTATTAATCTTTATACTGGAGATCAAGTTTCTGATCAGACCTCTGATGACCTTGAGCTTTACTTTACTACCAGATTCTCTGACATAACTGGATTGCAAACATCACTGCATCTGAATTGGCCTGGTCCTGATAAAATTTCTTTTCTTGTGAGAAAGGCTGCAGGGCTCTATATTTGGGCTAAATCTGCAATGGACTTTATCTTGCACAGAGGTGGTGACACTGAAGAAAGGTTGAACATTATTTGCTCTGACTACAGTGACAGCATTGATGCCATTGACACATTGTACCAGCACATTGTCTTGGTTGCTTTTCAGGGGTTAAGAGAAGAAGAAAAGAATAATTTGTCATCAGTTCTGGCTGCAATTGTTATTGCAAAAAACCCACTTCGTGCAAGTGATATTGAACAGCTTGTAGGAGTTCAAAATGCACTGCAAATAGTGAGTCAACTGAGCCCAGTACTGTTAATTAGCAATACTGGCCATTTGCATATCTGCCATCAATCATTCACAGATTTTCTGCTTGACCAAAAGCGGTCTAAGGCTTTTTGGGTGGATTTTCAAAAGCATAGTCTCTGTTTTGCTGGATCTTGCATGAGATATCTAAGTGCAAAGCTCAGATTCAACTTTTTTGATCTGAAAACATCACATATACTAAATAAGGATATTCCAAATCTGATGGACCACATTAAAAATGTGAAATCTACTGCTCTAGATCATGCAAGCTACTTCTGGGCAATCTATCTGCAAAAGTGTCCTGATGAGGTATTACAAGAGGAGATAATGGTGCAGATGGAGTATTTTCTGATTACCCATCTTTTACATTGGCTAGAAATTATGAGCCTGATGGGCTCTGTAAATCATGCTGCCCATTTACTGCTGTTAGCTGAAAATTGGTGCAGTGTAAGCATTTTATATAAATAGACTATTATGATACTGATATGAATGACTCAAATGTAGATATTCAAGCCTAGTTTGTCAGAGTTTGCAAGTGATGCAAACTAATTTATAATGACATTTTTTGAGCCAATCTCTGAAGCAGCACCACACATTTACATCTCAGCATTGCCATTTGCACCACAAAATTCTAAAATATCCCTTCATTTCATGAAACATTCTGTAAAGACTTTGAGAATTGACAATGGTCAGATGAAACAGTGGCCAGATAGATGCCTTCTGAGAATAAAGACTAGTAATGGTCCACTTGCATATTCACATGATGGCAGGCATATTGTCTCTGGATCTAATGAAGGAGCTATTCATATCTGGGATGCTCTCACAGGCCATAATGTCATGGATCTTGAACGCCATGCTAACTATGGTGTTTTGGCAGTTGCATATTCTCCTGATGGGAAACACATAATCTCTGATTCTGGTGACAATACAATCATAGTCTGGGATGCTTCAACTGGCCAGAGTGTCATGGATCCTCTTGAAGGCCACAATAGCTGGGTTCTCTCAGTTGCATATTCTCCTGATGGGAAACACATAATCTCTGGATCCGAAGATAAGACAATCAGAGTCTGGGATGCTTTCACAGGCCAGAGTGTCATGGATCCTCTAAAAGGCCATGGTAGTCCTGTTAAATCAGTTGCATATTCTCCAAGTGGCAGGCATATTGTTCCAGGGTCCTGTGATTGCACAGTCAGAATCTGGGATGCTGGAACAGGTCAGTGTGTGATGGATCCACTCATTGGTCATGATGACTGGGTTCAAAGTGTTGCATATTCTCCTGATGGAATGAATATTGTTTCTGGATCTAATGATAAGACAATTAGAGTCTGGGATGCTCTATCTGGTCAGAGTGTAAAGATTCTTTTTGAAGGCTCTGATCCCATCTACACAGTAGCTTTTTCTCTTGATGGCAAGCATATTGTTTGTGCAGCTAAATACCGCCTAATTAGATTCTGGAATGCTTTGACAAGTCAGTGCATGTTAAGTCCTCTTGAAGATGATGAGGGTTCAGTTTATAGAGTGGCTTTTTCACCTAATGGCAAGCATATTATTTCTGGATCTGGGGGTCATACAATCAAAGTATGGGATGCTCTAACAGGCCACACTGAGATAGATCATGTAAGAGGCCATGACTATGGGATAACATCAGTTGCATTTTCTCCTAATTGCAAACACATTGTCTCTGGGTCCAATGATGCAACACTCAGAATTTGGGATGCTCTGACAGGTCTCAGTGTCATGGGTCCACTTAAAGGTCATGACCATCAGGTTACATCAGTTGCATTCTCTCCTGATGGAAGATACATTGCCTCTGGATCTCGTGATTGCACAGTCAGAGTCTGGGATGCTCTAACAGGTCAATGTGTCATAGATCCTCTCAAAGGCCATGGTAAAGGAGTTGTTTCTGTTGCATTTTCTCCTGATGGTAGATACCTTGCCTCTGGATCTTGGGATATGACAGTCAGAGTCTGGAATGCACTGACAGGGCAGAGTGTCTTAGATCCTTTCACAGGTCACACTAGTTGGATTCATTCAGTTTCATTTTCTCCAGATGGCAAATTCATCATCTCTGGGTCTGAAGATGATACAATCAGAGCATGGAATGCCCTGACAGGTCAAAGTGTAATGAATCCTCTTATATGTCATAAGTATGGTGTTAAGTCTGTTGCCTTTTCTCCTGATGGAAGGTACATTGTGTCTGGATCTAGAGATGACACTGTCAGAGTGTGGGATTTTAATGCAGGACAGAGTGTCATGGATCCTCTAAAAGGCCATGGTGATGTGGTTGATTCAGTTGCATTCTCTCCTGATGGGAGGTACATTGTTTCTGGTTCTGATGACAAAACAATTAGACTCTGGGATGCTGAAACAGGTTACAGTTTGGGAGATCCATTCAAAGGCCATTATGCAGCTGTTCTATCAGTTGTCTTTTCACCTGATGGCAGGCATATCGCTTCTGGATCTTCAGACAATACCATCAGACTCTGGGATGCTCATGGAGGCTGCATAGACTTAAATCCCTCATCTCCTTCAGTTACATTGTCATCCACATTCTTGCCATCTGGAGTTATAAATGTTAATGACACTGATACCCATGACAGTGTATCTCACATTTTCAAGAGTAAACCTGTTGTTTTTTATCCCTCTCCAGGACTTAAATCTAATAATTGGATCATTGGAGAAGATTTCAAATCATATCTCTTCTGGGTGCCACCACACAATAAACATGGTTTATTTTTTCCAAGAGCAGTCAATGTACTGGGCAGCACTCCAACTATACTTGATTTTAGTAACTTTGTCCATGGTACAAATTGGACTCAATGTTATTCACCAGCCTTATAATAGGATTCAATGCAGATGCTGGTTCATGGCTTATTTAAACAATCTTTTATGTGTTGGTAGAACATTCTTTGAGAGACTGTTGAGATGTTTTTTTTTTTTTCTCTTTTCTTTTCATCATTAGGGGCAACAATATTCTCTGGTTTTGAGTCCCTTTTGTATATGGTTCCAAAGTTACTTCTATGTTTCAATGTAGTATCAATGATATACAATACTATAAGCTCTCCCACCCTCAAAAAAAAAAAAAAAGATTGCACATATAATGACTTTATGCAAAGAGTGAGCCAAAACCCTTTGGTATGTACCAAGATGTAATCAATTCCACTTTGATGTAATCATTCAGGACAGTCCCAAGGGTGCATTGACTGACAGTACAAGTTTAACTTCCCAAATATTCTACCTATTGTCTTAGAGAGTGGGATTGTTTATATTCATTTTGTAAGTATAGGCACTTGATATCCATCCCTCCATAGTCCAAGTAACCTCATTATGTATAAACAGCATCAATGATAAATAAGATAAATCCTATCCCTCAAATCCGACACTTCAGCTCCCCACCAACCATCGCAATCGCAGCACCCAAATACCACCCCAACTCCATCCCCCCAATCTTCTTCCCAATAGGAGGACTTTACCGTTTGGGAAGGAGGAGAGGAGGTATGGTTGGTAGACGCCGTTGAAGGAGCATGGATTGAGTTCGCATATTCTGTGTGTGCATGTGTATTAGTAGGGAGAAAGAAAAAGGAGAGGAAGAGAAGCGAACGTATGCGTCCTTTGCCAATACAAGTTGCACCACCCTATCACACGCCTCAAAAGACCCAATATCCCCCCCATCCATCGTCACCTTCCTCTCCTTACCCGTCACGTCATCCTTAACAATCACAACCCTCCGTGTCCCCTTCGCAAGACACGGATTCCCCACCACCGCCTTCGGCTTCGTACCCTGCAACATCGACATGAAATCCGCCAATCTATGCATGTGTCTCCTTGCACGCATCAACCCATACCCCAAGTACGAGTGTTGGTATGACACATGGCTCCGGTCACCGAATTGCAGATCGTATTTATGTTCTCCCTCTTCTAGCTGCATATCCGACGAAGGGAACACGGGGTCGAATACGATTTGCGTAGAAGCGCCGCCAAAGTCGAGGACGGCATAGGTGGTTGTATCGGGCGGCGTGGAGCCTTTGATGGTTCCCAAGAGATAATTCGCCGTTATCCAAGCGTATACGCCCTCGTCTTTTCCATCCATGATCACCACCCCATCTTTCTCCTGTAGCTGAAACGGGTAAGAGGAGCGAATCGTCTCTTCCATCGCGTTCAAAATGTCAGCGCTCTGCGACCCAGGTAACAAACGAAGTCCAGCAGTAGCTTTAACAGCTACAGGTGTACCCGTGCAAAGCCTTAGGCACAACGCGGACAGCTTCGTCCAAGAGGAAGTCTAGGCTCCGCGCAGCGCCCTCAATTCGTATTCAGGGGAAGGGCCGCGGTTGTTGATAATGTAGACATGGATTCTGGAGCCGGTTGGGCCCGCGTCGATCATTAGTGCGTATCGTACGAGGGTGCAGGAATTGGAAGACAAGGAGTGGGGGTGGCTACAGTGCGTCATCGATGAAGGCTTCTGGATCAGATTCGTACGAGCCTGGGTCTCTGTGGTGATTTTGGGGCAGGACGGGTAGATGTTGTTGTTGGTTTTGTTGTTGGAGTTGTGTTTTGGCGCTCTGACCCTTTGTCCGTAGTCTTTTCGTCAGTTTTCCAGAAGGAAAGACGGTGAAGCTTAACATTCACCTCTAACTCAGTGTTTCCATCCCCCCTTCAGAACATATCCTCCCCCAACCCCCAAAGCCACGTCACCTCAACGAGAAACGCAGTGCACACCGCAAACTTCTTCCACGCAAACACTTTCGTCCCACCAACGTTACCCGGCTCCATTCCGCCTTCTAGTCGGCCGTACTTGCTGCTCCGGGGAGATAGGATAGCCATGAGGTGTCGTGAACGGGAGGTGAGGTTGTTGTTGGTCTTGTTGAAAGCTGTGGCGCAAATGAATCCGGGATTGACTGAGTTTCTAGTTGTAGTCTTTTCGCTGTCCAGCATACGATGAATGGAAGCGCGGGAAGAGCCCACATCCTAGGGAATGGGAGTGGAGAAATGGAACGTGGCTTTCGGGTTATCGGGGAGTCTTAGAAACTAGGAGTGGATTGCGGGAACCCATACAGTAGCGCTTGGAGGCAGAATCAGCTGTACGGATTCATGAGATCCAATGACCAACGTAAGGAGACGTAAACTTACTGGAGCTTGAACCTCGCATCCTCAATTTACCCTGCATTCCAGCAGTTCCCCAGCGATTCTATACGAGTCGATGAAGCTTCAAAGCTTCAAGCTTCAGGATCTGGGATCTGTAGGTGGAGCAAGCCATTTGAGGAACCTGCCATCCCCAAGCTGAAAGTCGTGGTGGAGAGACTGACTACTACTGAGTACTGCAGTGCATATCTGCATGCAGAGCATCTGCATCAATATCTGAAGGTGAGCCTGGAGCAAGAAAGCAAATACACCTTTAAGCTCTCCAGCTCAGAGAAGGCAGCGCTCGCCGTCGGAACGCCAGTCTAGTACAAAACGAAAGAGGGCAAACGAGCATTACTTCGTCATTGTTCTCCAAATAGAAGAATCGAGCAAGGATGGCCGTCAGTCTTATCACAACGCGAGGTCAACGTCATGGGCGATGGCCAGATTGTTGATCAAATTCAAACAAACATCTCGCGAACGTCTCTTCGCATTCCAACAGGTTTGCTTACTGTAACTACATAACTACCGTCCTATTACACAATGTGGGCTTTCCCTCCACGCCTGATGTGTCCATCAGCAAGTTAAAGGAGGTCACGATTGAGGAGACGTGAAAGAAATGAAGTAGGATTTGGGTAGATGACGACAAGGGGGTTAAAGTGACGTTCAGACGACGTTAGAGGGAGTTGGGAGTTTCAGTCGGTTGAAGTAGTTAGTGCCATGGAGAACACTGGGTTAAGAAACTTCGTAAATTGTATCGACCAGATTCTCGACTCCTAAACACAAGCGGAGGCCCATAACCATGCTAGAAAAGGTCCGATACCCAATGATACGAAAGGCGACTTAGTGATGCTTGCAGGAGAATGCGATGAGTATTCTTCAGTCTTGAGTCATAAGTTCAAGAGCCACTGTTGGTCCATTCATTAGCGACATTATGAACACGAGAAAGAGGCGTAGATTTACCGGAAATTCCACGGATGCTCGAATGAGGTGATCTCCAGCCACTTTCCCGACGATGCTGCACATTTTGCGTCAAGGAATCTGGCCTCAGTGAGTCTTTACGGATGGCAGCGGATCCAGGCTGACTTCATGAGACGTATGACTCGAACACAATGCAACGTCTGACAGGACCCTACCCTGTCCGGAGAAGTCGGACCCCTGCGCATGTGCACTCAGGACGACATGCATATCCGACGATAATGAACCGGTCATTCATCATATAGGACCAATTGAATTGATGAGGCTGAGATATAGAGAACAGATTGGCTGATCCCGTCCTTCAGCAACTCTCAACCCAACTCGAAAGCCAACGAAGGCCCACCGCCAGGTCTGAATGTGAAGAGATGGCTCTGGTGTATCGACGGCAATCACAGGGAGTTATGATGAAGCACGACATTGATTCCAGAGCAGAAAAGAGAGTCCCAGCGGCCGTTCCACCCTTAAACAACAATGAATCCAAGTGGGGGGAGGAACATATCTAAAAGCTGAATCCTCACGCCAGAGAGAGCTCCGAAGGTGAGGAGTCTCTAGATGTCGGTCCTATTGAATTGGGGGTATATGGATGAAGTACGATGCTGCAGATTTCATCCAACAAGGCAAAGGCGAGGCGTGGATGGTGATGTGGAAGACGATGGCGATGGGTGTCTATTGTCGTTCACACTTCTTCATTCGAAGGAAGAGCTACTCGTACGCTTGGTCCTTGTAGCTTCTGCACCGACAGAGGGCGTACAATTAGCAGAAGACGATAATGGACGCCAAGGGTGGGCCGTTCCAGGCGATGAGCGGGGGTTCTGAGGTGTGTTGAGGTGGAGATAGTGGGCGATGTGGAGCAGCTCGCATATATGAAGTTTTTCGAAGGCTGTTCCATCGTGTATCAACGGGATCGATACCCCGACTCATATGCACGTAAACAACAGCAGAGGAAACCCAGAGGGTACCCCCCAAGAAGCCGACTGGGGCCTGCAGAGAATGAGATAGATGGTCTTCAGACATAATAAAAGAGCTAGCTGTCGGTCGATTCATTAACCACCAGACTAACATGAGAAGGAGGTGCATACTCACCGGAACCTCCATGTACCTTTCAGTAAGCTGATCTCTAACCACTCTCCCAGAGACGTTGAACATTCCGCGGAAAAGGAACTAGGTTCAATGAGCCGAACATCTTTAAAGATCTCGGATGCTTTGGGTTGATTACAAGGCATCCTAACGACGTTGCAAGAGTGTTCCAAAGGTGACGTTCGCCTGCCCTGGCGAAGATTTCGAAAGCACGACTGAGAGAACGGACAGACTGTTAGGAAAAGTGGGTGAGTTGTGCTTGTCGAGGTCAGAAGGGGGGGAAGAGAACACGTGAAATAACGAAATGGGAGGGCAAATCCAGGTAAAGGAATCGCGAACGAAAGTGAAGTTGCAGTCGTAGGAACCAATATGCACCGAGGCTGGTGGAAGACGAAAGGGTAAGAAACA